TGTTGAAACATTCATAATCACTAGCACCCCAAGAAAATATTAAGAAAGTTATTGGGAACAATTGATTTACCCTCAGAAATAATTGGTGTTGTTAAAGTTGGCTTTTAAAATATCTATAAATATAGAGCATAATGTTATGTAAGTCTAATTTGCCAGGCCACAAGTAGAAGCTTCACCTGGGGGTGCACAACTTCAAAATTTCTTCCTAAGTGATGTCAGATTGTGAAGTTTCTATGGAGAATTTACCATGGAAGGAGGGCTGTGGTCAACAATTCAATTAAATGTTCTGTGTTATCTCTAAGTGCTCTCTAAAAGCTAACTAGTGCTCTAATGTACGTGTATGTGTGCACAAGAACTGTCATTGTGGACAAATGGTGAGCAAAGTGGTGAGTGAGCAATGACAGCTGTTGTGTCCAGTGCCTGTCATCCTTCCAAGAGAGTTTATTTGTGGGACAAAGTAATAATGATTGAATTTTTTTCTTAGGCAGAAACATTTGAAACAGAGCAAGCATGTGGCCCTCTCTTTCCACTCAAAAGAGTTTTTCTTATTTAAGAAAAATCTCACTTCCTTTTCTTTTTTTGTATTGAACCCAGGCACTTAACCACTGAGCCACATTCCCAGCTCTTTTTCATTTTTTATTTTGAGACAGAATATCACTAAGTTGCTTAAATTCTCGCTAAATTTCTGAGACTGGCTTTGAACTTGAGATCCTCCTGCCTTAGCCTCCCTAGTCACTAATATTACAGGCATGCACCACTGCACCTGGCTCTACTATCATTCCTTAATCTTTCTGGAAGTGATTGCCTGTCACTTGGACAATCACATATCAATCACCAGAAATGTAATATTAACTATTCCCACTTATTTATAACTTTTTTTGGCTTTTATAACACAGTAAGGATAACAATTTATAGCAAACAATGAGAACAGGATACTAATAGATGAGTAGAGAATAAACAGTTTAAGTATCAAAGTAGAACTTCTAAGTAATACAATTGCAATAGAATATGACCAAAATGACCCTTTTGAAACCATCAACTTTTTAAGCTTTCTCTTGAGGAAAACAAGGCATGAAGAAATAATAACTGAATGGCTTTACATAGCATTTTATTTTATGTGGTAGTCATGACTGTCAGGGTGTATCATTCAGATTTTGCCCTATTTTTATTTGACATTATAGTCAAGTGACTTGTAAACTCGGTGAGTTCTTGACTGAAACTAGACAGTGGTTTTGAAGCTCTTGGTGTTTTAGAGCCATAGCAAATATACAAGCATTCCATTAAAATTTATGATGAGCTTCTAGGGATCATCAGATCTTTACATTGTATCCTTCAGTTCCTTGTTAAGGATCCTTCCTTATCTAAGAATCATTTGCAAGTTCCAAGGTTCTGGAAGTGCTAGATGTTTGGCCCAACCAATGCAGTATTAAAAATCTAGTGCAGGGGGTTGGGGTTGTGGCTCAGTGGTAAAGCGCTTGCCTAGCATGCATGAGGTACTGGGTTCATTTCTCAGCACCCCATAAAAAGTACTAAATAAAGGTATTTGTGTCCATCTATAACTTTAAAAATTGTTAAGAAGAAAATCTAGCGCAGGAAAAAAAAAGCAATTACAAAAAAGTTTAGGTTCGGTGGGATTAGTTCAGATATTTCCTATTAGTAAAATGGTTTTAGCAATAGGAAAGGGCTAAAATAAAAATAATAATTATTAAAATATATCAAATTCAAATTTTCAAAAAGTCACTATATTATATGAATCATTCTGCAACTTCATTTTCCCCCTCAGTGTGATTTTTTAGATCCTTCTGTTAATAACATGTGGATCTCCTTTGTTATATTTTACAGATGTAAAGAATCCCATCATAAGAACTTTTTGTTTTGTTCCTAATGGGCATTTAAGTCGTTTCCAACATTTGGCTACTTCAAATTAAGCCACTGTAAATTTCCTGGTACTTATCTCCTGAGCATATATACTCACAAACAAAATTGCTAAATATTTTAAAATTTGTTAAGATGAAGGACTGTTTCCCTACTTTCAAGGTCACAACCATTTTAGTACATGGCTTTTTCATGTTTGTCTTCAATCCTCATGAATTTTGCTTACTTGTTCATGGTCTATTTATTTTCCCCTTCAGAGAACAAAAAACCTCCGAATAATTTTTAAAATAGTCCCATATTTCCTCATGGATGGATTTCTTTAACATTGCAAGTTCTACTAAATGCATAGGTCTCTTTCTAGAATCTCTTCTGCTGAATCAATACCACTAGAGTTTTTATTATAGATAATCACACCATCTGTTTTGGTCTCTTCGTTTCTAACACAGCTTATTTTTCTATTACACTGGTGAAGAACTTCACATCTATGTTGATGGAGTAACAGGTCTGTTTTCTGTTCCAATTTTAGTGGAAATACACCTATAGTTTCAGCATTACTTTTACCATGGACTGTAAGGTTTTTGTTGTCGGCAGAGTCTTTTTATCATACAAATGTCTTCCTCTTTTGTAGATGGATCATTTATTTCTCTGTGTCTTGAAAGTTGTTAGCATTTGTGTAAGTTTACCTCACTTGTAGTGCATTGCTTCAGAACGACTTTCTGATGCACTGTGAGATATAAATGTATGATGTATGTGTTCCCATGTCGAGGGATTTTTAATGAGTATGAATTTTCTGGTGTCTAATATGGTGTGACTTCTGATTGAAAGCTTTCCCACATTCACTGCATTGATAAGGCTTCTTACCTGTATGAATTTTCAAATGCAGAGCTAGCTAGTTGAGAATTGAGAAAGCTTTTCCATATTCATTACATCCATAAGGTTTCTCACCTGTATGGCCTCTCACATGTACAGTGAGAGATTAACTCTGAGAAGGCTTTTCCACATACATGCATTCATAAAGTTTGTCACCTGAATGAATTCTCACATGCACAATAAGTGATGTTCCTTAAGAGAAGTCTTTCCCACCATTCATTACATTCATAGGGTTTCTCTCCAGTATAAATGTTTTAATGCTTTATGAGGTACTTCTTCTGCCAGAAGCTGTTCCACACTCATTACATTTAAAGGGTTTCTCTCCAGTGTAAATTTTCTCATGCTCAATAGGATTTGATTTCTCACTAAAGTTTTTCCCACAGTCCTTACATATAAAGGGCTTCTCTCCCATGTGAGTTCTCTGGTGTCTGATGAAGTTGGTCTTCTGAATGAAAGCTTCCCCACAATGTTTGCACTAAAAGTTTCTCTTCAGTGTGAATTTTCTGATGGGTAAGGAAGTTTTCGTTTTGGCTAAAGGATTTTCCACAATCATTACATTCAAAAAGCTTCTTTCCAGTATGATATTTTTTAAAATATTTATTCTTAAGTTTTAGGTGGACACAATATCTTTATTTTACATTTATGTGGTGCTGAGGATTGAACTCAGTGCCTCGTGCATGCTAGGCGAGCACTCTACCACTGAGCCACAACCCAAGCCCCTCCAGTATGATATTCTGATGTTTAATGATATATTGCTTTTGACTAAAGGCCTTCCCACATTTGTTACATTCAAAAGGTTTCTTTCTATTATGAAACTGCTCATGCTCAGTGATATTGGATTTGTGGCTGAAGACTTTCCCACATATGTTACAGGCAAAGGAGCTGTCCCCACTAGAAATTCTCTGCATACTGAGGTGTGATATCTGAGTGGAAGCTTTCCTACATTCTCTCTGGTATGAATTTTTTGATAAATTTTTTGATAAAGAAGGATTTACTTTTGGCTGAAACTATTTCCACATTTCTAAGATTTCTCTGTATAACCTCTCAAATGTAGAAGAAGGGATAAGGTTTGTGAGAAAATTTTTTCATACTCAGTTCATTCAAAGTTCTTTCCAGTACAAATTTTCTAATATTCAAAGATAGTTTGCTACATTCCCTACTTTCTCTCCAGCATGAATTTTCTGTTGCTTGATGAGATCTGTTATCTAAGGCTTTTCAATATTCATTAGAAGCACAGGGTTTCCCTTTAGCATGATTTCTGTGTTCAATGAAATGTGACCTGGGTAAAAGTTTTCCCACATTCAGTAAGTTCATAGGGTTCTTCTCCAGTATGAATGCTCTGCTATTGTTGGGACACACTTTTTTATAATGAAGGCATTTCCATACTCATTTACACTTATAGGGGCTATTACCATAAGAAATAGCAGTGGTAGAGGACTTCCAAGCTAGTAAAACCGGTGATTCTACTACATACCTTCCCTCATGGTTGTCTAAATTGTTTCAAACTCAAAACTTAAAAAACATATTGCCTTGAAAGAAATAAAACCTGTGAGCAAACAAAAAAAATTTTCCAATTTTCTTATATTCACATCCTTTTTTTCCCTCAATCTGTAGTTTGATGGCTACCACTTGTTTCCCAAGTCTTGTCGCTTCTCTGTCTGCTCCTCATCTTCTCAGGCTTCTTCTAACATGACCGCCTTTCCACTTTTTTCCTCTACCATTCAGTTTTATCTTTTTGCTTCAATGGAGGATCATATAGTTTGGTCTCTTTATCACCTGCTTTTAAGGGAAACGACAGGACCAGAATGTTCATGCTGAGGCCATCCTAGAACCCAGGCACAAGCCCAGGGCTTCGTGGCCTACGGCCTTCTGAAGAATCAGGAAGACCGAGTTTGCAGGGATGCACAAGGAGGCAGCCCCACCGGGCAAGTCCCCTGGGAGAAATCTACTTTAAGAGACAGTACGGCCTGCTGGGATGATTGGAGTGCAGGCTCCCTCCTCCATGCCTCCCAAGTGCGGTCTCAAGACCGGCCAAGCCCACGCTCAGAAGGAAAAGGACTCCATCTTGGTGGCGGCTGGCCCATGGGGCGGGCGGGGGGTGGGTGGGGTGGGGGGGTGGGTGGGGTGGGTGGGGTGGGGGGGTGGGTGGGGTGGGGGGGTGGGTGGGGTGGGGGGGTGGGTGGGGTGGGGGGGTGGGTGGGGTGGGGGGGTGGGTGGGGTGGGGGGGCGGGGCACATTTCCCAGAGTCCACAGCGGCCGTTCGTTAGCGTCTCTCTTGACGTCACGAGGAGACCGTTAGCCCCCTAAGGACCGGGGACGACCAGAGGAGGCAGAAGGTGAGGGCTGTGACAGTCTGGGCAACACAGATAGATCATAAGTTATTTTCTTCATTGTCGACCTGCCCTGTGATTAGCAGTACCTACCAGCTGGGTGGAAATAGCCACCACAACTTGATCCCTGAAGCTGTACTCGGGTATTAAGAGAAAGAGGATTTACTTAAAAGTACACAGATGGATTGTTCTCTTTTCTCAGAGGCTCTGGGTTAGTGGAGTGGGATTGACGTTTGTGTCAACCGAGTGGTTCGTGCTTTCTGAACACATACAGGTATCCTAATACTGTATTAGGGACTCATCCGATTTATTGTGCCCTGTGTGGACAGGGATTTACAGAGAGAAGTGCAATTGGAAAAGCGCTCTTCGGTTATTGGATTGTTATTATGCAAACGTATGACTATGTGCTCATTTACCTATTTATGATTTTCCTTGTCTATTGTAGCTCTGATTAACTGTTCACATGGGTGTCCTCTGGTCTGTTTTTTTTTTTTTTTTTTGTCTTTATTTTTTGTTTTTTTAATTTTTTATTGTTGGTTGTTCAAAACATTACATAGTTCTTGATATATCATATTTCACACTTTGATTCAAGTGGGTTATGAACTCCCATTTTTACCCCGTATACAGATTGCAGAATCACATCAGTTACAGATCCATTGATTTACATGTTGCCATACTAGTGTCTGTTGTATTCTGCTGCCTTTCCTATCCTCTACTATCCCCCCTCCCCTCCCCTTCCTTCCCCTCCCCTCTTCTCTCTCTACCCCCTCTACTGTCATTCATTTCTCCTCTTTGTATTATTTTTCCCTTTCCCCTCACTTCCTCTTGTATGTAATTTTGTATAACCCTGAGGGTCTCCTTCCATTTCCATGCAATTTCCCTTCTCTCTCCCTTTCCCTCCCACCTCTCATCCCTGTTTAATGTTGATCTTCTTCTCATGCTCTTCGTCCCTACTCTGTTCTTAGTTACTCTCCTTATATCAAAGAAGACATTTGGCATTTGTTTTTTAGGGATTGGCTAGCTTCACTTAGCATAATCTGCTCTAATGCCATCCATTTCCCTGCAAATTCTATGATTTTTTTTTGTCTTTAAAACGTCCAGATGAGCTGAATGTTCGCAACTGTGAAAGACTTGTAGTAGGAATTAGACAGATAATAGGGAAGACAAACTTTGAAAGTGATGAACAATTTGATAAAAACTACAAAGGAAAGGCTCTCAGTTTCTATGTGTTGGTATAATATGTGGATGTAACATGAAGCAATGATGTTGCAAGTGAAACACAAAGAACGCATTAGGCAATGAGGGAGAGTGAGGAGAAGAAGAGAGATCTATAGCATTAGGAAATATCGTGTGTAAAGAGCATGTGTAAGTGAGGGACTTGTAGCTATGAAGATGTAGGCGAGTGGGAATTACTTGTGAGTGGATCCTACAATGAAATAACACACACCAAAGACTTAGTACAGAACCAGTTAGTGAATAGAGTTCTTACAGTTAATATTTCCACCACGAACTGAAATATATAATATCTGTTCACAAAAGTTTGGTAAATCATAAATCATTTTCCTTTTATAACAGTGAATTAATTTAAATAGAGAGAGAGCCAGTACTTTAAGTCCCAACAGAGAAGTTAGGGAGATTTCCAAGTGAGAATTTCTGTGGGCATGGGCATTTGTCCATAATACTTATGAATTCTTGAAAGATATTAGGTTCCAGAAGAAAGTGGGCCTTTCCAGTCACCTTTGTACAGAAAGAGGCTGGACTAGTCAGTTTTGTATTAATATTTAAAAAGGAGCCCTTCACCATTGCTTAGTCTCAGAGCCACCCTTAGTGTTTTCATGAGTTCTAACAGGCAGATTATAGAATCCCTGAGCAATGATTTTGACGAATGTCACAACTGTGGGAGTCAGGATGAATCCCTTGAGAGTGCTTCTGGCATACAACAGAGAAAACGCCAGAAGATGCCAAAGAAGCCAGCAAGGGAAGAAAATGATCCGAAAGGAATCCAGAAACAATTGGCTGGGAACAGGCTATACCCCCTGAGAAAACCAAGTACTTTTTGGAATCAAAGTGAGAAAGTATCAGGATCCAGGATGAAGATTGTGAGTATCTGGAGCCACAGGTTTGGGGAAAGGAAGAATCTTTTGGCATATGAAGAGATCAGTGACCCTGAGGAAGAACCTACCCATAATGAGAAGCAAAATATGGTGACCTTTCACAGTCACGGGCATGGTAAGAACTCCTGAACTCCTGACCATCAGGAGTATTAGCAAGTGAAAGGAAGAATTCGCAACATAAAAAATTTAGGCATCATTGCTCTTACTATGTGCTATGTATTCTTTTAGCATTATTTTTGCTATATGTCTGACAGTCTGTTAGATATTAAAGTTTTGTTGAGTAAGACATATACCTAATACATATATTTGTCTGTGTATCCATATGCTTTTTTTCAAAAACAAGTATTGTCAGATATTCTCTGCATCAAACAGCATTATCTTCCTTTTGCTCCAGGTGGGATTACCAAAGATGTAGGTGTTTAATTCTGGACTTTTTTCTCTGCATTTACACACACACACACACACACACACACACAGTATCACTGTGGGCTTCTCGCATCTGCTTTGCCCCACTACTAAGTTATCTGATCTGTCTGGACAAGTCCCCCCTCAGTCTGTTTCCTGTTCAGCACATGCTCCACGCTGCAAACTCCCACCCTGCTTTTACCCTGCATTCACCCAAAATTAAACATTTGCAAATGGTCTCCCCCACCCCCCCCCAATAAAGAGATCTATTTCCAAATATCTATATCTGATGTCCTTGGCTCTTTGAAAAATAGTTTGTTAAATTCAGTTTTTATTGGATTAAGTCAAGAAGATAAATACACGATCTCATGATAAATGATTAAAATTATTTACAAATAGGACTTTATTTTACTGTTTTTCTTCTGGAATTGTTTTCTTTTTATTTTATTTTTTATTTTTTTAAGAGAGAGAGAGAGAATTTTTTTTTAATATTTATTTTTAGTTTTCGGCGGACACAACATCTTTGCTTGTATGTGGTGCTGAGGATCGAGCCAGGGCCTCACGCATGCCAGGCGAGCGCGCTACCGCTTGAGCCACATCCCCAGCCCCTGTTTCTTTTTAAAGTGCACATTTATTCATTGCATTCAGGTCTCTGGGTGGGTGATTGTCAAGTGCCATGCCTCTGCAGAAAAGAACATTACTGAGGGTTAAAGCAAAACTCAACAAGTTCTAAATAAGTTTGCTAGGTGTAGAGATTCTTTTACTTCACAATCCTTTTAGGATTGGTATGTAATGTCAATAGAAGGGACAGAGAAAAGACAAATTTCAAGTCTGTACTTAAGAGAACACCAGAGGGATTGAGGATGTTGCCCATGAATCAGTGGCTGGGGAATGACTGTTAATGGAAGATTTAGTTTTAATCAAAATTATTTACAATTTTTTTTTCTCATATCTGGGTACAGTATGTGACTCTAGTGCCTATTTCATTTTATTTTATTTGGTGATGAAAAAACATTACATTAATACTGACATTTCTGTAAAGGCAACTCTGGCTTGTAATGTATATGACTAAATTATTCAACAAATCCAGAATTACTCAGAATAGATTGCAGAACTCCTTAGAGAAAAGAGGAAAAGAATCATTGACTTGCACAATATAAAATTAATATAGTCAAGAAATAGAAATTGCCTTCAAAGGATAGGGTTGGTGGAAGGGAAACTTTCTGTTAGGAACCGGGTGGTGCTCTGGAGCCCATCCCATGGTGCTACTGTGCAACCCCACCAGTTGGGATCTCTACATACTGATTTAAGTCATTCTCTGACCACATTTCAGATTGCACAATGTTGACAACTGTCACTGCTGACATTTTGCATCTATAGCTATCTTTCATTTCCCATCATTGTATACAAATTGAACCAGCAGGCACCTTTTGAAACTGTCTATTGGATGCCTTGTAGGCACCCCTGCTCCAGTACCTGAAGCCTCACAAGTACATAATTAGTCTTTTCTCTATATTTTTGAGTCTTGCCTATTCTGGTTAAATCTCCTCTATGTTGGCTCCCCTAATGCCTTCAGCTGACAACTATCTTTCTTGTCTTATTTTTTAGAAAACAAACTAATAATTCCATTCTTCAGATACATTTTATAGTGTCTCATATCATTCTCATGTTATAGATATAATTTAATTTTCCCAGGTATATATGGATCATAAACTCCAGCTAAATTCAGTACAAATCTTAGGAATTCCATAAAATCAAAGGGCTGTCTTAAAACCAGCTGTAAGGTTTTTATTTTTAATTTATTTTTAGTTGTACATGGACACAATACCTTTGTTTTATTTATTTTATGTGGTACTGAGGATTGAACCCAGGGCCTCGAATGTGCTAGGTGAGCACTCTACCACTGAGCCACAACCCCAGCCCCACCACCTGACTGTAAGGTTTTTAGATATTCACAATTATAATTTCACTTGTGTTTAAAAAATATCCTATATGATAGAAATTTATAATTATTTCATTTTAAAGATGAAAAAATTGGGTTTAAGATTATACAACCATAAATGAGAAATTCTAAATCTTTCTTCCCTGTTTTGGTGCATTTTATACTTCTTTTTCCATATTTATGCCAACAACAAGGATCGATTCATACAAATACCCACTAACTCTGTTTATATTACAAAACATGAAGGTACTTTTCATTCAGTAGTTAATTAATAAATGATATTTTCTGGGGATACAAAGATGAAACAAATGGTCTCTTCTGCCATCAAAATGTTTGCTGTCTGATAGAGTTGTAAACAGACTCTAGTGTAAACATATAAGAGTAATGAATAAGCATAAAGGATGGTGGGTAGATCACAGATAAGAATAGTCATTCTCTCACCCACTGCAGGAGAATTAGTTAAGACTTTACAGTTTGCCTGGATTTGAAGGATTAGTAGGAGTTTACCAGGTGAATAAAGATAGCTGAACAGTATGCACAAAAAACAAGAGTTGAAAATTTCCCTCTGCTCTAAGAGTAACAAGAACATTTTTGTGTCTTAATCTTGGTGGCCTGATGAAGAAGTACTTTGTAAGAGGAGACTAGGAAGATAGGAGCCAGAGGAAATAAATTATGTTTCAAGTCTAGGCATTAATTCTGTATAATCCTATAATTAGTCCTGCTTTTCACCAAAGTAGCTACAAAGCTCATTAACAAAGGGAGGTAGTTGCTCTAAGGAGAGCCATTAATGACTGCCTTTCACATTTTTGGACCCTATAGTAGGTGCATCACAGATTCTTAAAAATTAAATTTATATCCCCAAACTATAATATGAGAGAAAGCACACTATTCTCCTTTTGTCAATGTCTAATCTGAGGCCAAGAGAATTTATGGACTTGCTTCTCATCATAATTCTGGTAGATAATGGAGCTTGAATCTTTCCTAGAATCTGATCTAATTCAGAAACTTATGCTCATGAGTCTGTTGGCAATGAGAAGGGTACAGATGCTCATAAACACATGGCAAGGGGACTTAACTATGGAGCATTTAATATCAAAGCTTCAATTTGCATAACCAAGAACCAATGGACTTGAAATAAAAAAATCCAAATACATACTTAGAGCTAATGATTTCTAAACTTTCTGAATAATAGTAAAAGTGGTGAGAAGATTATAGTTAGAATACAGAAGACTTGAGCGGTCTTAATTAGCTAGACATAATTGCCAACTATCAAGCATTTCACCTCAAAGTAGCAGAATAGTCATCTTTACTGCTTATAGGACATTCAAGTGGAAAGGTCATCTTCTAGGCCAGAAAAACATTTTCAATGAATTTAAAGGATTGAAAATTTACGACTGTCTTCTCTTACTATAGTGGGTCTACATGGAAAACAACAAAAATGTCTGAAAAATCCTAAGGATTACACAACACATTGCTAACAAGAAAAAGTCAAAGAAGAAATAAAAAGGTAAATCAAGAAGTTGTTGAAAGAGAATAAATAGAAAATATCTAAGATTTGGTGATGCAGATAAAGTAGTGTTTATGGCAAACTTCATAGTCTAAATTGCTTATATTGGAAAAATGAATAGTCACAAAACAGCGATCTCAGCTTCCATTTTCAGACACTAGAAAATTAAACCCAAATTAATCAAAAGGAAGAAAATTACAAAGATAAAGGCAGGGAAGAATAGAGATGAACAAAAATATAATAATTTATTACTTAAAACATTTAACAGTCCTGGTAAAGGAAACTAAGATACATTTTACAAATATAAAGGATGCAAGAGCTGACATCACTAGACTATATACATATTGAAATGTTAATAAGGATATATTATAAATTAAAAGTTACTAGTTATTTTAAAATTTAAATTGTGTACATAATTTTGGTTTACATATCTTTTTGCTGATTTCTTATAGGATACAATTGTGGTTTTCAACTATGGTCTGTAATATGATTATAGAGTTTTCCATATTTGAAAGAGTTCTAAACATGATTAACATTATGCTTTTACACCTCAATAAAACACTTGTGACCATACAGTATTTTTATTCAAAAATCTTATACAAAGCCACTATTGCTATTTGGAAAACAGGTGTTATATCAGTTTTAATTTGTCAACATTATCAAACTATTGTTCAATAGAAGCATATATTTCCCTCAAATGGTCTCTCAGCTCTGAAGTTATATCATTGATAGACCTATAGCGCTATGGTTCTATGGTCCACTCTTGCATCTGTGACTACTATTTGAAATATCATTTTTTGAGACCAATAATCAACTATATTTTGTAGATAAAACATGATTTTCCCTTTTAAAAATGGACTAATGGGCATATTAGAGTTTTGTTACTAAGTTGTTTCCCACAATTGCAGCTGAGTCCTGTTTTCTAGACCATTATCATTGACCACTCTTCTTGCCTCATCCTCTTCTTCAACACATTAAATGGACTAAAAGAAATACCTTGTTTCAGAAAGCTTTCCCATTTGTTTATGAAATAAGACTGAGTTTCTTTACACTTCACTAATATTAATGTTTTAAAAACAAAGGGTGACTTGCATAGCTTAGTACATTATTTTAGCAAGAAATGAAACTCATTTTTTTCTTTGCTAATGTGAATAATTACAGAATGAATCTCTTTTTGAAATGGAGAAACTTTCTTCCTTTATTAATTTCCATGGGAAATAAAATTTGGATGCTCAGATGATTCCATTTTTTCAGTATTTCATCCAATATAAGAAATAGAAAACAATTGTAGGCTTAAATATATTACAAAATTTGGGAGTTCTTCATGGAAGATATTTATGTAGTCATTAATGATTGCACAATAAATGCTTTTAGTTGCTAATGGTTTTCTTTTCCTCTCGAAATGTAATCCAGGCATTCAGTTCAAAAAATACTTATTTGACATTTATTGTGACATTTTAGGAATATCTCTCACTCTTTGCAAACGATCAAAAATAAGGTGAGTTCAGAAAAAAATTTCACGTTCAGAAAAAAAAATTAGCTCCCTGTTATTGAAGTTCTATTACGTAATAATGTGCCAAAGATAGTCAAAACCCTATAATTTAGATTACCCCATTTTATAGTTCTAAGGCCAGAAGACTTCAGTATCTTACTGATCATCAAACTCTAGAAGTACCATAATGAGGATCAAAACATGAATCTTATTTCATGTTCATGCTCTCAATTACTGTGTGCTACTCAACACACAGACATGCATGCAGTACTCACAGATGCACACACATATATATACCTACATATATACACGCATGTACTACTTGTGTAGACACACTGAGAATAAAGCTTAAACAGTACTCAGAGTGAAGATAATGGGAGCTGGAACAAAAAGAGTGGATTGCTAGTAGAGATACTGATGAGAGCAGAGGTCTGTTTTATTACTCTTTACATGTCAGTCATTTGATTCAGGACACTGATTATGTGGGATCCATATTTTAAAGCATCAGTGAGATGTTAAATCTTCAGTAACTGAATGGAGATGTTCAGAAATAAATTATATGAACTTAATACAGGAATATTGACTCTATTAATATTTGTTTAAATAATACTCATTTAGTTAAAAACTATAAGCAATGTTACTTCCATACTGTGTAGTATCATGAGTCCTGCTATTTCCAATTTAAATATATACGAATAATACAGCAAGTATACTTTATCAAGGAAACCATTGCAAACAGTCCAAACTTTAAAATCTTAACTGAATTTTTTAAATACCTTATTTATTTATTTTTATGTGGTGCTGAGGATCGAACCCAGTGCCTCACACATGCCAGACGAGTGTGCTACTACTGAGCCACAACCCCAGCCCTTAACTGAATTTTTAAAGGTACCATCATGTGGTTTGGGATTAAGGGAAAAAAATGCTGATAGGCACTGGAGCTGGTTTCAAAACTTGGCTATTGTGAGTGGTGCTGCTATAAACATTGATAAGCTTGTATCACTATAGTATATAGTGGTGGCTCCATTTCTAGTTTTTTGAGGACTCTCCATACTGCTTTCTGGAGTGGTTATACTAATTTGCAGTCTCACCAACAATATATGAGTATGAATCATCTGTTCAAACATTTTTCACATTTTAATTTGAAATGAATAATAAACCTAAATATAAAAATTAAAGTTCTTAAACTTCTAGAAAAAATAACACAGGAGAATATTTTTGTGACTTGAATCAGGTAAAGATAAGACTTTATCAAGATTTTTAAGACTTCATCAAAACTATTGCTTTTTTGAAGATATTTTTAAGGAAATTAAAAGCTAAGTCACTGTTGTGAGTTATTCATTAATATAGACCAAAAATGCGTATGTCTTTCTACAATGACAGAATTTATTGAATAACAGCTTGCATGCTACACTACTTGCATCAGTGGCAGTTCACTGAGTGCTTGTGAGTCACCTGGTAGTCATAAGCAGGCAAACACAATTTTTTTACTCTAATCTTAATTTCTAATATATAAGACACTCCAGACACACATCACACTTTACACAATTTCATATGTATGTATATATAAGCATATATATTACTTATGTATAATTCTCTATATGAACATTTTTTGTTGTTTTGTTTTTTTTATATTGTTACCTAGCAGCATAATTATTGGATCACACAAGAAGGGAGTTTCAACTATATAAGAAACTGTAAAACTTTCTGTAATATATATATATGTATATATGTATATATGTATATATATACATATATATATATATATGATACATGTGAATTGTAATATATATTACATATAATATTATACATTATATATACAGAAAGAAAGTTAAGAAAGGGTTAGGCAGGCACAGGGGTTCAGAGGCTGACTGAGAACAAAGGCAAAGAGCAGATACAAATTCAAGTAGTCACTGCAGGTGGTCAGTGTTTGCATCTTTTCCCTGCTGTGATTAAAGACCTGACAAGAACAATTTTAGAGGAGGAAACTTTATTTGGGGGCTCATGGTTTCAGAGGTCTCAATCCATAACATCCCCCTCCATTCCTCAGGACTCAAAGTGATGCTAAACATCATGGTGGAAGAACGTGGTGGTAGGAAGAGGTTCACATGATCAAGAAGCAGATAGAGATTCCACTTGCCAGATACATAACCCAAAGGCATGCCCCTAGTGACCACCTTACCTGCCTTCATTTAACCACTCAGTCAATCCCCATTCACTGATAGGGTTAAGCCTCTCATAACCCAATCATTTCATCTCTGAATGTTCTCACATTGACTCACAGATGAGCTTTTGGGGGACACCTAATATCTAAACCATAATATTCCACCCCTGGATCCCAAAAGTTCATGCTCATCTCACAATGCAAAATATATATTAAGTCCATTTCCAAGATCCCCATGGTCTCAACAGTTCCAAGATTGCCTGAAAGTTCAAGTACAAAGTCTTCCCTGAGCCTCAAGGCAAACTTGCATAGTGAGCTCAGGTAAAAATCAAAAGCAATTTATAAGTATCCAATATTTAAAATGTACAAAGTAAACATTTCCATTCAGAAAAATAGGGGAATAGAAAGGATAGGACCAAAGCAAGACCAAAATCCATCTGGGTAAAATAAGTCCTGTAGCTTCACATTAGGCATCTGGGGCACATGGCATGGTGATGTTTTGTCCAAAGGCTTTTGTAGCTCCACCCCTGCAGTCTTGTTGGTTGTAGCCCAAGTGGCCTTTCTCTTGGTGTGTCTCTGCTCGATTGCTGCAGCTTTCCTAGGACAATGTCCCATGTTACTGGCATTTCTTAATCTGGGGGTCTCCACTGCAGCTTTAGCTTTCTCCTCACATATCCAAGCATCACCCTCCCAGGGGCTGCTCACAAGGACTTCAGTCCTGGGGCAGTTTGCCTCCTCCCTGGCCTTCCATTGAAATATCAGTGGAAGACTCCATGACACTCTAATTCCAGCATATGCATTCCTGCAGAAAGAGCACTATGTGCTTGATGCCAAGGTCTGCCACCATTTAGGGCAATAGCCAAGCCTCCAGGGAACCTGGCTGCCGAAGCTTCTGAGTGCTGGTGTGGCTGAGCATGGTGAAACAACTTCCTAGGCTGCCATTTGCAAGCAGGGTCACCGGCCCCCACTTCCTGTGGTCTCTTCTCAAGGAAGGTTTACTTCCACGAGCCTGATTTGGGTGTGGTCTCAATTCCTGAGATGCCCTCAAGCCATCTTTTTTGTTGTCTCTAGTGGTTTAGTATTTAGTGTTTCTTCTGTGACAGTAAGGTCTTTAACAACTGAAACTTCCTTCGCTCTTATTTTATTTCCAGTTTTCAACTCTAAGGTTTTCAAATATTTCTGGTCTTCTTTCTGCTCCTGAATATCACAAGAAACTTGGCTAAAAGTTGCCAGCAATACCCATACCACCACCTGACTGCTATGCTGCTTAGGAATTTCTTCGCTAGATTAAGAAGTCCATCACTTTTATAATCAGTCTCACAAATAATCTCAGCACATGGGAAA